GTAAATCAGCTTATATCTCGAATACCGGGGCGAAAAAATAAGCTCTAATTCCAATACTTTCACCAGGTATGTTTTCTGACGAGTTTTAATCCGTGTAACTAATTAATTTCTCGATTTTATTTTCGTTACAAACACGTCCCTTAGCGCCTTTATCCACGAGACCTCTCTTTTATTTTAACTGCACACGGGCGGTGAATAATTTCTGGCTACGCTATTGTTCGCACGCATGCAAAAAATGTAACTGCCCCACTTTCAGACCTCGTGTCGCTGAAGTGACTGGTTTCAGTGCCGTGGTACGATGAGCGAGCTATACCTACTCTCTTAAAGTTTTGTTGCTTTTAAAGGCTTAACTAGTTTTAAAAGCAGAAAAGAGAACTTTTATCAGATTACGAATAGCTCCACCTCTGCTTTATTAATTTATTTTTCTCATTAATTAATTGATGTTAATCTCGAAGTTTGCAGCGCTCCGTGAGCGTAAGCCGTCGCAATTTTAATGGGAGGCGAAGAGGATTGTGTTTTAAGTCGCATATCCTGGAGGGAAATGGTGATCATTCGCTGTTGAAAATGCCTTAAATTATCTAAGAACATCTTCTGAGAGTCAGAGTCTCAAAGGAAGAAAAGCTCTAGGCTAGGCAAGTCTCTGTAGCTCGTGCTGCTGTGGAGGATGCTGCACGAGACCCCAGATGTTGCCAAATTTCCTTTGATAAATGCGACCTTAACATGGGTTTGAAGGCCGATTTTGGCAAAATATGCCTTTTTTTTGGCATTCGACCGCAAAATCCGCTTTTCCCGTCATAATCGACCCTCAGACCAATGTATAGGCCAGTATCAGACCCGGAAAGAGACCGGAAATGATCAGATCGAAATGAACTCCGTCAAATATTTTCAATGAGCAGGAAATGGTGAAGATTAGGAAATTCAAGGTGGGCCCAAAAATGGTCCCTTATCGACAACCCTCCCTCATCAGATAATTAATCTACTGCTTTGAAAATGTGACGGAATAATATTAACAAAATTGGGTTATAAGACATTTCGTCAACGATTTTTTGTCCGCGCACCTGTTTTTTCCAGTAATTTACGTCCACGCGTTTTTTTCGGCACGGGAGTTTTGGTCCACGTGCCAGTTGAGACCCAAAGTTAATTTGTACACACAAACAAACGACAATTGCTCACAACGTTTTTGGATGAAAATATATAATGTCTTGGAAGAATGAGGGTTTACTTGTTGGCGCGTATACGTAGTATACCGCCTTTGCGATCGTTTCGAACCCTGCTCGATACAATAACCGAGTCCCTTAGTTCCTTACCGAAAAGTGACTACCGCGAACTTCTGAGATTTTCCAAAGCGTGTAAAAAGTTTATTTATCCGTCAATAATTATGATTTAAAGTTGTTTCTCATTCTGGGGCTCGCTAGTTTATGTGCAGTGAATACCAAGAGTCAACGTTACTTGGTTTTCTTAAAAAAAGCCTAAGAGTACGACGCGCTGATTTAAAATATGCATATATAAGCAGAATCAAGCGAACTGATTCGAGGATGGCTGAGCAGGTCGGCACTCTCGGAATGAGAATTTAACTCCTCCGTTTTGTTCAAAACGTTGCTTTGACAGATCTCCACACCTCTGTTATACTTTTCAAAAGTTGGTACCCGTGCTCTGATAGTGCTGTTCATCTGACAACAATGTCAGTGTCAGCTGATAATAATATTTTTATCATATGAGGTTAATATAAAGTTTTCAGTCAGTCTTTGACATCCTGAATAATTGTCTTGGTATTTATTTACTAATTTTACAGAATTATATTTTATTTCTTATTAAAACTAAGAAATACAGTGCAATCTGTGTAAGTGCAATCTGTGATGAGCCTCGAGACTCATTAGACCATTAGCTAAACGTGGCTCATACAGGAATCCGCTTACCCCTCTCTTCCCCACGCTCGCCCAATTACTTACGCTTCATCAACCATTTCACCGTCACGCTATGATTCGCCCAATTTTCAAAAAAAATTGTTTCGCGAGTTTTTAGCAATTTTTTCCTTACTCTCCGTTGAAACACGAATTAAAAGAGGTCTCATTCATAAAAATCGGCCAAATAGAAGAGAAGTTACAGTATTCGAAATCCGAAGAAATCAACAAAACTTCTCCAAACAAAAAATAAAATGAAGGGGGAAAAAAAGAAATGTATAAATTACAATTTAATATGATTGACCTCAGAATGTGACAAGCAATTCAATTATAAAAAGGAGAAAAAATTGAGTGAAATTACAAAAAATTAGCCTCTTGCAAGGGACTTCCTTGTACCTATGAGTTTTGACCTGAAGACAAGTAAATCCCGTTACATTATTAAAACGAAATTGACTCCATAGTTTAATGCCTTAGTTTCTTGAATACGATTATTTTAAGCTCTCGAAAATTTATACCAGCAATTTTACCCATGGGGTGATTTCCTGAGAGCTGATAATATCACGAATTTCTCATAGAGCCCTTCAAAAATGGCTTGCTTTTTGGGCAGCCGATTCGGCCATCAAACCGGGGTTTAAATGGAAGCTTATAATAACACAAAGCTCTGAGGAAAATTTTGAGATGAGTATAGGAACGGTTTGTAAATTACGAGGAGAGACGGGCATTCGGTTCAGCATATCGATACATAAGTATTTTCATACGTAGAATTAAATTTTCACGTCAGGGAGTCGACATATTTTGATTTTTTCGATTTTATACGGAAAATGTATGGTTTTTCGGGATTGAAATTACTTACAATTGTTTCATGAAAAATGAATGCACCCAAAATGACTATAGCATTTTGACTTTCACATACGTGCACTCACTAAATCGATTGGTAAATTCAAAGAGTGGGTACCTACATCGACCTGGTATATCAAGTTTCTGCAATTTTTCACGGCAAATCGGTAGATTTTCGGGATGTGGATTGCTTACTTTCAATTCATGAATGAATAAAGCATGGACATGGTTAAGCTTCTTTGCATGAAAAGACGTTTAAAATAAAAAAATCAAGACATATTTAATACAATTGCATTTATATCGAGTAAATCTCTTTTCAATAATATAACGGGATTTATAATACCGGTGATTTGGGTATTTTAGCCCCAAAATACCTTTAAATCGACTTTATCTTCTAGGAGTTCGACAGAATTTTTCCTTTCTTCGCTTAAATTTTTCCGTAGCACTTTTCTTCAAGAATCTGATAAGATTTTGCTTGAGGCAGATCAAAAAACTTAAATTTTTTCGAATAGCTTTCTAGATTCACAATACACGGTCTCGTCAAGGTGCGTCGTTAACCTTGCACTGTTGGATCGTGAATTCTCTTGTTGTGCTGCTTGCCTTTTTTGAAATCTCTGTAAATGAAAACTAAAGGGGTTGATATGTGCGAGTTAATGACGCGCCTTATCAACACATTGTGTTGGAGTTCACTGCTTGTTTTTTTTTGTTTTGCCTGTTTGGTCCAACGGAGAATCATATATAGTTGAGAGTTTTGGTAAAAATGGGGGAGCATCAATTCCATGAGACAAAATTCACTAAAACTCTCTACACCTCTTTGGTGTAACAGGACTTAATTATATTTCAAGAAATTCCCACCTTGTTATACCTGAACCGGATAAACCTCTTTATTTGCCTTAGCTAAAGGCTCTTAGATTTCTCCCGTGTACGATAAGTATCTTGATTTATTTTGCGAGGAAAGATCTGTACTTTTAAAGGATGCCTGTCATTCTTAATACGTTCAATTTCGTATAATACTGTGCAACACCTCTGTTGTGAAATAGTTGCTTCAGGCGCCGCCGCACGGCGGGCGGTTGGCCAGCGCAAAACGCGCATTGGCGCCTACAAACCCAAGTGGATACTTCAAGCATTGTGCAATGCGTGAAGTATCCACTTAGGTTTGTAGGCGCCAGTGAGCCTCTCACGCTAGCAGCACGCCGCTCCGCTCTGTTCGGCTTTAATATATATACTCGCATAGTCAGCGTTTTTTAACTCATGATTTTGAAATGTTAGCACAATCTGCATTGATTATTCTCATTTAAATTGATGGGGAAAAAATGTGTATCAATTCATCAAAGGAGAATAATAATATAATGTGTGTTTTTTAAATAATTGGTAGTTCCGTGTCAAAAATGAGTTCCAAAGCACTTTAATTTTTTCTTTTACATTTTGTGCTTTTATTGTGCTGCAGCGAAGTGTACGCGCAACGAAACGCTCAAAATTTGACGTATTTGACTCTAAAAGATCGATGTACAAATGAGTTAAAACTAAAGATTGTGTCTTCTTGGTTTTTTTTCATCTTTTATTCATTTTTACAGTTTTTGTCGGCACAACTGCGGCTCATTGAAATTAATGTCGCTTGGAAAAGGTTTAACAAATATTTGTCAAGTTTTAAAAATATAAATGTTTTAAAAACGAAGTAATAATTTCGTAAAGAAAAAATTTAAAAAATGAAAAAAAAAGTACCTATACATATATAAAGTATATTGTACATTTAATATTTTAAGGATAGAAATAAAACCAAATATTCACCAATGATAATTTAAAAACATGATTTAAAAGGAGAAAGTAATAACGTTTCATTTAGAAAATGAGCAACCATAACAACACCTCCTTCTCTCTCAATTTCTCATTTCCATATTGTCAATATAATTTTACATACCGACTAAAATATAACGCTTGGACCAAGTCACTGTTGCTTATTTTACGTGTGGGCGTAAACTACCGACCGGACAAAAAGGTGCGCGGACAAAAAATCGTTGACAAAATGTCCTGAAACCCAAAAATGCCTTCATAATATTAATATTAAGGGTCAATTTGGGAATCTCTGAAATTTCACCATTCAAATGAAACATTTATCGGCTCACGGTAAGATACGTTGCGTCGATAAATTCCAAAGTTTATGTCAGGACCTTGCATACAACTGTACACATTTCAACGGTACAATATCTGCGTTCGCACTATGTAAGACACTCGCTAATTCTTTAATCTCCGTTTCTCTTTCAGATTATCGACATAAGAAATATACTGCGATCGTCAACCATAGATCAAATGAAAGATGTTTACATAGTTCAGTGCTTGATGGAAACTGACCTATTCAAACTTCTCAGAACTCAGGTAAGCTTTCATGAACTACTTTTTTTTAGCACGGTCGGTGAACTTTTTCAACCCTCGGTCTTGCTGTCAACCGAAGAGGTTGGTCTGCAACATTGACGTCTCAGTCATCGGAACGGAAGAGCGTAAACCGAATTCATTAGTTCGTGCAACCGAGAGTTTTTTTCTCGGCCACGGTTATCCCGCTGGATATTCGTATTTGCCAGGAACATTTTCATGACGTCCGAATTTTCTTAATTCTCACGGGTTTTTTGTTTTTTTTTTACGGCAGTGTTGCCGTAAATAAATCGATTCAAATTCGTCTTTTTGTTTTCACAGTAGCATTTATCTTTTGAGTTTTGACAGCGCTGTCTGAAAGCTGTCCGATTTATCCGCTCAAGCATTAACCCCATCCGTTGCGGCGGGGTTGAAGCAGTGTTGCCGATGGGCGGAAAATTCACCTCATTGTCCTCTTTAGCGCAGGCATCATGCGGGCGAATTTTTACTCGTTCGGATTATTTCGACAATAACCAGTTCTGCTGCGCTGAGGAAAAAAGAGTCGTCGGCTGTTGATAGATTTCCTCTATTAAAATTAACAAATTTTGTGAAACTTATGGATTATTCTTTAGAGGATTTTAATTCCTATTTTTTTTTTCATAGAAATACGAAATTTTTAAAATATTCATTACTTTCGTCCAAAAGAATAAATTGTAGGAAAAAATTTGACAATATTCGAGTGATGACATCATTCCACAGCGCAGCAAACGTTTGAGTCTTTCTATACGTTTGACTCGGTGAAACAGCAGGACAGTAGCGACGATGGTCGTGCAGATTGACAAATTCTTGAAAAGTTCCGGAAAACCGTGGATAAGTTAGACAATTTTGCCGCCGAACCTTGTCATTTTCCCCTTCAGCCAAAACACCGCATCTTTTTAATTTCTAAGAGACCTCACATTTCAGCTTTTTTTTTTATGAAAATAATTTCTATGATATATCATCAGGGTGTCTACAAGTCCGGAATTTCCGGGAAAAGTACTGATTTTTTAAGGGCGGTCCGAAAGTACTGAAAAAGTGCGGAAATTCCACAAGAGAGTCCGGACTTTTTTCGCATTTTTTCGTCATTTTTGTCGAAATTTGAGCGAGGAATTCAAATTTTCGAAATTCATTGAATTTTGTCGAATGGAGGTACTGAAAAAGTACTGAATTTCTCTGTTGAGGAGGTACTGAATTTCTTGGAATTGTACTGAAATAGTACTGTAAAAGTACTGATTTTTGGCCAGCCTGTTTTAGTAGACGCCCCGGTCATTTCGCCCACCCCCGTTCCCCAAATAAATTGAGGAGTCAGGGATAAATTCCGGAATTTCTGCTCCAAAACTCTGAAAAGTCAGGAAATTTCGAAATCCCAGGAAACTTGTCGCCGAAGCGGGGGGGGGCGGCTCGCTGAAAGCTAGAAATTTTCAATCGATGGAGTAAAGTTTGAAAGCAAAAGCGGGGGCGGGGGGCGCAACAGCGTGCGGCGAAAGCGCCAAACCGCGAACTTGCACAGGGAGGCGCCGACCGCAGGGAGACTGCCATCATTTTGGCGCCCATTACGAGGCGGGAAAAAAACGAGAGAAAAAGGACAGGACCGTTAGAGTCGGCCACCCCCGCCTCCGCCCACCCGAAGCCTCGTTTTTTTCTCGTACCTAATCCGCTCACCGATTTATTTGCCCTCGTTATACTCCGGTTCCGGATAATACGGTAGGTGCCGCGCCATGCCGTACAGCGGGTTGATTCTTGAAATTGATAGACAAAGCGATAGACATAGAAAGAGAAATGATAAATTGGTGGAAGCGGTTGGTTGCAATGGACAAAGGAGGCAAGTAATTAGAGACCGACTAATGGCAACTCATGAGAGGCCCCATAGTTAGTCCATCAAATCCCCCTTCAGTCTACTCTAGCTCATCATTTTCCCCTTCAGTCTTCTGTAAAAAAACCATCCGTTGTAACTAGCAGGATTATTCTATTTTCATTTCGTCCCCCTTGTCTGTCCATCGCGTTGTCTCTTTATTTCAATAATCAGCCCCTAAGTCGCGGAAGAGATTTAGACATAATGCGGGAACTTTTAAAGCTTATTTCACCGTAAATACAAGACTGAGAAGTTCAAGAATGGTTCCATTGGTTAACTCGTAAAATTTCCTCAAGGCTGATTATTGAAAGCTATAGACAAAACGATAGACAAAAGAGGTACATGATAGACTATCTAATGGTCACCCACGAGGGACCCTATCCGTATAGTTAGTCCATCATTTCCCCCTTCAGTCCGTAACGACCACCCCTCTCAACCAATACGATGGCTTCATTTTTCCTTTGTCCTCTTCGTCTACAGCTTTATCTATCAATTTCAGTTATTAGTCCCTTTAAGATACATAATGTCACCAAACAAAACAAAAAAAAAATGCAAATTTGCAAGTTTGCAAATTTAGTCACTTGTTTCTTGTCCAACCGCTCCTTGAAGCTCTTTCCACCGTGCGCCGCGTGAGGCATCAAACGAAAGCCCGGATTGATCGGATCATCACGGCTTGATTCCTCGCGTCTCCGGCGGCGGCGTTCTCCCGATTACCTTTGCAGCGCCGCGAGATGATCTCGAATCGATATCGAATCATCTCAATCGACAGATAACATTACCAACATAGGGATTAATCGATAAAAATCATTCGATGCAACGATTCGATATCGATCCGCAGCGGGGCTTCGTCCGCGTTCCCGCCATGTACAGTTTCTCGTTATCTTTAGAAATCTCTCGCGGCCACCTTTGGCGCCGGGTCACACGTTAGTGGAAACCTTTCGCGGGTCTTTGAAAGCCCAGCGGACGCGGAGACACAAGCTCATGTTCCTCGAATCTGTTCGAGAGGATATTTTTATCTCTTACTTTTTCACTCTTTATTAAAGATACAAGGCAGTGGCGTGACGTGCTTTGGCATATATCGATTGATCTGCCATTTAAACCTATGGAAAAGGATCAAAGACATAAAGACGGAGCACTAAAAGCAAAAAATGAAGCTTCTAGAGCTTCTTTTCAATCACCTCTACTATTGGCTAGAGGATTGGCGGCGAAATCGGGACAAGTTTGAATTCAAATGTAGGGCGGGAACTAATAAATAAAATTGCGGAAACAAAGTATTTTAGGTTGATTTTTGCCCAAATTCAGGTACACACTCATATTTTTTTAACTTTAGGTTAGTTTCAGTCCGTCGTCGACCGATTAATTTCATTTGGGAGTAACGTTGATCTAGAACTGTAACGGCCTGTTTGAACCCGCAGAACCACCATGAGCAGAAGAAAAACTAACTTTATGTGAGATTACTGCCTGTTACCGAGCAAAAGTAGGTGTATTATATTAGGACGCAGACCGAACTTTCTTAGTATATTCGTTTTAGGAATTTAAAATACGTTTCAAAGAAGAAATGTGCAAAAATCAAGAGGACAAGTTCAAATCAAATTTCCGTTTGCCGCCATGGATTCCCGCGCTCATTTACACACTCACACAAGCGCGCAGCGCCGAACCTAGCTTCACTTTTTCCCCGTGCTTTTAGATACGAGCGCTCCGTCTTTATGTCTTTGAAAAGGATCGATAGCCACGGGGTTCGCAACGAACACCTTAATAATCGATTCTTTACCATAGCTTCAAATGGAGAAATATCGATAATCGATCATTCACGCCTCGCTACTGATAGAGGGTCTGCAGGGTGGCCGCAGCCAGAGAAATCTGAGAGAAGTCGGAGGATAAATTATCAGGAAAAAGGCGGTAATATTCGTGTTTACGGAAGTGGCCAGTTTTTACGTGTTACGCTACAAAGCTTCTCTGAGATGGAAAAATGTGAACATTTTTTTTTTGACCTGAACGGAGAGAAAAACCTCCGGCTATACACTTCGAAGGATATTTGGACCGCGTTAAGCAGGAAGGAACCAAGCCACATCAGCTATCGCCACATGTAATCGGGCAATTCAATTTTTGACGTGAAAACGGTTATGCGGATTTTTGTGCAAATTTCAGTGAATTTTTTGCATTGTACAAAGCACATTCTTAAAAAAAAATCCAGAGGAATTCGCACGAACGTTCTCGTATAAAAAATTAAATCGTCCGGTTAAATTTGGCAATTGCTGATATGGCTAGGTTCGTTTCTGCTACAAGCGGGTCATTTATGGTTGAGAAGACTGGAACCCTCAGTCAAGAGAACTGACTGCTTTAGCTCGTCGCTCCTCTGGCGAAAGGGCGTATCTCGATTCCCGTATAAGCCCCTAAAAGCATGGATTTATATCTAAAACAGCGCTCACTTGGAAATTGAGATACATCCTTACGTTAGAGGGGGAACTAGTTTACAGAACTGAACTTCATTTCGGAACTAAAACTTCGTTCCGAACCGGAAAACTTCTGTCTATACGGAGTATGTTCCGTATGAAACAATTAGAGTAGAAGCAGTGGCGTGGCGTGCTTTGCGATACATCGATTGTAATGCCATTTAAACCTATGGGAAAGGATCGATACACAGGGTGTCCGCAGCGAACACCTTAATAATCCATTCTTTACCATAGGTTTAAATGGCAGAACAATCGATACATCGCAATTCACGCCTCGCCACTGAGTAGAAGCTTAATGACTTGATACAAATGCGAGGAAAGCCGGGCCGTATAAGAAAATTTCCGTTCAGTTGTGGCATATGGATAATTTTAACTGAAATTTCGACTATTTTGGAGATTCGGCGGTAGTTTTGAGGATCGGCCACAAGGAAAATTGCTAGGCCAATCCAGTGCGAAATCAAACGAAGGAATCGCCTCCCGAATCGGAAGATCGGATTTGGACGTATCAAAGGAACAAAGGAACTATGCGAAAATGAATTCAATCAAAAGGAAATATGTGCATTGAAGTTACGTGCCCGCCTTCTGATTTAACTCATTTTCACGCAAATTCGCCCATTTTAAACACCCTTTATGCAGATATTAACGTGTACAGAAATCGCCGTACTGAAGATAGTTTCGAGAAG